CACTGTCATGTTCTACAAGGAGTGGTCTTGAGGGTCTGCTCAGCCTGCAGTGCGGATAATCTATACCAAACGACACCTCAGCCTCCATCCCGGGTCAGCCTCTTACCTCACCTGAGCCTCTCTTCCTGCAAACACAGGCCAGAATTCATCCTACACCAGGACCACTCCTCTCTGAAGAGGCAACAGGGATGCACACTCACCTCTGCACCCTGCCCCCCAGACTGAGGCCTCCCTCCTTCACCATGGAGCCCATCTGGAATAACCATAAGTCTCTCCTTCTTCAATATGGTCACTAGGCTATGGCCTTGTCCAGTCCACACCCTCCACCCTCTCAGAAGCTCCAGCCCAGCCACTTCCCAGGGCCCCAGACATTTCTCTCCATCTATCCAAGTGATGTCTCCATGTTCTGAAAGTTCATTGCACTAACCTCCTCATCTCCATTCCTTAAATAATTAGGTAAAAAACCTGGGATGGTCTTTTATGCCCTACTTTTGCTCACAGCACCTCTGATGCAGCAGGAAATCCTGTCGGCTCTGTCTTTGTGACCTATACAACCACTTGTCACGTCTCTCCTTCATTGACACCCCGCTGATACAGCCCTCCCATAATCCTCCTGAAGTGTACAGCTGGGTCCTCCCTACCCATCTCCCTGCCTCCATTCCCCATCCACTTCTTAACAACTTTAAACTTCAAATCTGGGTACGTCCCTAAATTAGGTTCCTGGACCTACTTCCTATATGAAGGCGGGTGGCTTCGCACACACCACCAGGCAATTCTCAGACACCAGAAGGGTGTCCAAATATTCAACTCAATTCTACTTGTCTACCCAGAGACAGCATCATATCCCACAGTTTTAGGGCTCAGTCCTACAAGACTGCCCCCACCACCCATGAGGTATCAGTCGAAAGCCCACGCTGTATCTGCGTTTCTGACCAACGGGTTACAGATTGGAAGTTCCAACGGCCACTTCCTTAGCAACTCAATTCAGATGCCAGTCGCAAGCCCTGGTTGTTTTACCTGTACTTCTGATCCACTGCTGTAAGTCAGAGGTCCCCAAGATTCCTTCCTTAATTTGCTAGGACGGCTCATAGGACTCAGAGAAACACGTAACAATACTTACGACGTTGCCAGTGCATTATGGAAGGATGTAACTCAGGAACAGATGGAAGCGTGCATAGGGGAGTGGGCATCACGCTTCCATGCTGTCTCCAGGTGCCACTCTCCCCAAATCTGCCCGTGGTCCCCAACCCAGAAGCTCTCTGAACCCCGTCCTTTAGGGGGTTTTCGGAGGGTCCACTCCGTAGACAGGATGGATTAAATCACTGCCAGGGGCGACTGATTTGACCTCCAGCCCTTCTCCTCGCCGGGAAGTCAGGGTGCGGATTGAAAGTTCCAACTGACCGCCCGTCCCTGTCCTCAGCTGCTTTCCGAATGTCACCCGTTCCCGGAACAAAAGAAAGACACCTCTATCAATCCTAACACCTGGGAAATTCCCCGGGTTTGGGGAGTTGTGACAAGGCCAAATACGTATGAAAAATTACATTTTGGTGAACTGGGTGCCCAAATACATATTTCTTAGAAATCACATCATCTCATCCCTTCAAGAATTCCAGCCTCTCAGGTCGTCCCTCCAGGCGACACTCGCCGCCCTTTCCCCTGGACCCAGGAACGTCGGTTCCCCAGCGCCCAGGCGCCCGAGGGAACGGGGTCCGCGCTGTCACACGGCGGACACGCAGCGGGGGACTCGCAGGGCCTGACGCAGGGATCGGAGGGCGCCCCTCCACCCGAGCTCCGACTCGGAGGTGGGAGATGGGCAGGGAAGCCGGGGGACGCAGCACCCACCTCAGTCGGGCTCATCGGCGCGACCCCGCCGCCGGCCTGTGGGAAGAGAAGCGGCGACGGGACGGGAGCAGGGCGCCGCCGTCGCTAACCGGTTCAGTCGCGCCTCGAGGCTGCCTCCGGGCGACCGGGACGTCGTCTCTCGCGCGCTTTGTCTCCTCGGCCCCGCCCCAGAGCTCCCGGGGGCCAAGGAAACCTAGAAAAGCCTTAAGTAAAATCCCTGGAACAGAAAAAACGCCTCCGCGGAGGGGACGCGGCTGGAAGTCCCGCCTCCACTGTGTGGAGGCGTGTAAACCGCTCCAAGCGGAGCTCCCGCTGCCTCTGCTCGTCTTCTGCGGTTGCCGCAGCGTCTTCTGGGTAATGTAGTTCTTCCATTGGCTCCCACTATAGCGGCGGCGGTTGCTCCGGTTTCGGGATAAAAGGCCAACGGATGCCGTGAGGGGACGCTGGGAAGTGGAGTTCCCGATCCGCTGGGACACAGCGGAGCTTCGTGGCGTTTACAGGGGACGGACCTAGATTTCCTCTGGGTACAGTCTAGCACAAGTGTTAGAAATAGACGTTTGTTATTACGGATTCTGTGACGCCCTGCAAATTGCCAAAGGCTACACAACCGAAGGGACACGCGACACCAAAATGGCATTCGGCGTCCACTTGTAGCTGTTGGCTTAAATTCTGGGGGCTGTTTAATTATCTTCAATAATCTCGGTCAGAGACAAGAAGGAAAAGACACTCCCATCCCCACCCCCAACAGAGTATGATGGGAAGCTGGAGGAGGGGTATCTTTCCGGCCTGGATAATCAGTGATTGTGTTTCCACCGGGAGAGCAATAATACTTTTATTGGAATATTCTTAATTTTTTTCTTCATTGAGATAATATTATTACTCCATATCTGAGATACTTTCTATTTCTTTTGAAAATCTGCAAAGCAGAGATACTTATTACATCCCTTTTCCTGCGAAGATAGTGTGCACCCTTCTAACCATTGAACACACTTGCAAAGGGGACTCTAATCCCTGAGATAAAGGTGTTGTGTTCTGTGATCTCATTTCCTTGCAGGGAAGTAGTGGTTTTTTCACTTCAACTGAAATTGCATCAACGGTGAGTGCACACAGAGTTGAAATAATCTCTGAAAACACATGTGAAATGAAGGTTACAGAAAGTTAATAATGTAATTATGTAATTATCCAAGGAAACTGGCAAAATAGTTCAAGAGAAACATATCCGTTACAGATGGGGAAAAGTTAAGATTTCAGCAAAGTCTGGCTCTGGCTGCATAGCTCAGTTGTTAAGAGCCTCCTCTCAATACCCTATGATCGCCGGTTTGATCCCTGATCAGGGCACATGCAAGAATCAACCAATGAATGCATAAATAAGTGGAACAACAGACTGATGTTTTTCTCCCCTTCCCGCTATCTTTTTACACACTGTTGGATGCAATAAGGTAATATTTTGTTGAAGATTTCTGTGTCCATGTTCAGGAGAGATGTTGGTATGTAATATTTTTCTTTTTATAATGTTTTTATCTGGCTTTTCATATTTTTACAAAATTTTTATGTATTTATTTTTAGAGAGGGGGAAAGGAGGGAGAGAGGGAGAGATCTCAATGTGCGGTTGCCTCTTGAGCGCCCCCTACGGGGGACGTGGCCCACAACCCAGGCACTGCCCTCATTGGGAATGGATCCGGTGACCCTTTGGTTCAGAGGCCAACATTCAATCCACTGAGCCACACCAGCCAGGGCTGGTTCTTCATATTAAGGCAATGCTGGCCTCAAAGAATGAGTTGGGAAGTATTTTCTCTGCTTCTATCTTCTGAAAGAAATTGTAGAGAATTTATCCTTTCACCATTATGCAATGCACCCCTGTATCTCTGCTGTCTCTTGATTAGCATTATCATGGTGTATTTTTCTCGGTCCATTTAGTAAATACATACAAGGGGAGACCCAAAATATGGAATTTATTTATTAAAAATTGTGTATTTATTCTTACATGCTTAAACTCAGTCACCTTTGAAATACTCTCCATTTGATGCAATACACCTATCGAGACTTTCTTTCCACTTCTTGGAACGGTTTTTGAAATTGTCAATTTTGATGCCTTTTAGTGCTTTTGCCATTTTGTTTCATCTCTTCCACATTGGCAAAACTTTTCCCTTTGAGGACTTTTTTTTTCATCTGGAGAAACAAAAAAGTTGCTTGGGGCAAGATGGGTGAACAGGGAGGATGGGGCAGAGGAGTCATGCGATTTTTGGTCCAAAACTGCTAAACACTCAGCGCAGTGTGAGCAGGTGCACTCATAAATCACTCATCATGAAATGGGCAAACATGTTGAAAGAGTCTAAAAAAATATTCACTGAACCTGAATGCAGCCTCCCACGATGTCGCCAGCTGGTACAATGACAGAGATGGGGGAGAAGCCTGTACTACTAGGGACCCGCCCTCCAGAAGGTAGTTCCAGGTTTTGGGGGGGTCTTCCCTCTTATCTGTGGATATTATATATTTAAACCACTTCTTGTTTCTTGTAGATAACATATAGTTGGGTCTTGTGTTTTGATTCACTCTGATAATGCCTTTTGATTGAAGCATTTAGACATTTAGTGATCATTGATATACTTGGATTAATATCTACCATATAGTTTACTGTTTTCTATGTGTTGCCCTTGTACTTTGTTCCTGTTTTTGTCCTTTGTAGTTTTAATTGAGCATTTTATAATTTAGTTCTCTCTTGTATCAGTTACACTTCCGTTTTTACTTCGTTCAGTGGTTGCACTAGTTTACAATATACATCTACAGCTGATTAAAATCTACTTTTAAGTAACACTCCACTGCTGCACAGGTAGTGTGTGCACTTTAACATAACAAAATAATCCTAATTCCTCCATCTGGTCCCTGTATCATTACTGTTATTCATTTCATATATGTACCCATACACATACATACTTGAATATATTGTTGCTATTTTCTTGGAAAAACTGTGATCTATTACATTAAGAATAGGATTTTTATTGCAAATTGGAGTATGTAACATATCATTTTCCTTCTCTCTAAAAAGCTTGACAGCTTAAAGACATCAGTAGAAAGAAGTCAAATAAGACACAAATCTATATGCTTGTGTACGAGACAGATAATTCAAAGATTTTTATTGATAATGAATTCATATGAAACTGAACTTAGATTTGTTAAACTTCGCTTTACCACTTTAAACAACTCTTTTCCTCAGAGATTGTCAGAACTAAAAGCACCTTTGTGCTTTATACACAATGTCACTCTAATAGGTAGCACAGAGCCTTGCTTATTATTTGATATCATGCTTTTGCACACACAAGTACTAAAAATATATATGTGTGTGTGTTTAGTAAAAACAGCCATACAACTGTAGGACTTCTTTTATACAAAAATCTAGAAATGCAAACTATAGTGTGTATCTGAGGATGGCAAGTTGGGAAGGGCTGGGAGAGAGAATATAAAGGTGCCAATGAAAACTATAGGAGCTACATTGGCTTTGGTGATGGTCCCATTGTGCACACATATATGAAAATATAGTTTACGCTTTTAATAAATGCAACTTATGTCAATAATGCTGTTAAATTAAGATTCCATGTAAAATCTAGGTCTCCTCTTTCTCTAGAAATACCTTAACATCTGGCAAAGCTGTACTGACTCCATCAGCACCACTCCCCATGTTGCAAGTGGATCAACCCTGATTTCTTCTCAAAATACAAGGAAATGTTGACAAATATATAAACATGGGGAAATTATGCTAAGCAAAATAGGCAGTCACAATAACACAAATACTGTATGATTCCACTTGTATGAAGTATCCAGAGTAGTCAAATTCAGAGAGACAGAATGTAGAAGGTAGTTGCCCGGTACAGTAGAACAAGGATAGGAGGAGCTGTTTAATGAGTAGTTTCAGTTTTGTAAGATAAAAAAGAATGCTGAAGATTAGTTGCACAAATATGTGAATTTTTAACATTACTAAACTACAATAAAAATGCTAGAGGGCAAACTCTGTTACATGTATTTTACCCCAATTTAAAATGTAAAATTTAAAAAACCCCCTATATTACAGTAGTTCCCATGGATAAATTAGAGCAGACAGGTGGCTGGTCTTTCACCATTTGCAACCCTCTCTCTGGCATGAACTTTTTTAATGCCACAATGTGGTTGGAGATTTGGTTGAACACATGCCCATATTTGCTGCACTCATTCAGTACTTCTCCACTGTGATGGGGCTGGAGCTCCATCTAAAGACTGTCTCACATTCCCTGTACTCAAAGGCCCTAATCCAATTTGAACTCATAAGGTGCTTCTCCAGTGTAATGAGTTTAGAGTTGTACCTAAAAGGTTTACCATATTCTCTTCACTCATACGGTCTTTGCCAGTGTGAACTGTGTTTAATGAGGTTGTCGTTGTATCTGAAGAATTCCCCACATTCACAGATCTCACAGGCCTGTCTTGATTGTGGATTTTCTGGTGATGAACAAGGTGGGACTTTCTAATGAAGGCCTTCTGACATTTGCTGCACTCATAAGGCCTTTCTCCTGTGTGGATTTTTTGATGTTCAACAAGTATATGTTTGTGGCTAAAGGCTTTCCCACATTCGTTGCACTCGTAAGGCCTCTCTCCAGTGTGATTTCTCCAATGTTTAATGAGGTTGGAGTTGTACCGAAAGAACTTTCCACATTCACTGCACTCATACGGTCTTTCTCCACTGTGAACTCTCTTATGTCTAATGAGTCTACAGTGGTACCTAAAGGCTTTCCCACATTCACCGCACTCATAAGGCCTTACTCCAGTGTGATTTTGCCAATGTTTAATGAGCTTGGACTTGTACCTAAAGAATTCCCCACATAAGCTGCACTCATAAGGCCTTTCAACAGTGTGAACTCTTTGATGTCTAATGAGTGTGGAAGTATACCTAAAGAACTTCCCACACTCACTGCACTCATAGGGCCTTTCTCCGGTGTGGACTCTCTGATGTTTGATAAGTGTGGAATTGTACCGAAAGAACTTGCCACATTCACTGCAACCATAAGGCCTTTCTGCAGTGTGAACTCTCTGGTGTCTAATGAATGTGGAACTGTACCTGAAAAATTTCCCACATTCACTGCACTCATATGGCCTTTCTCCAGTGTGAACTCTCTCATGTCTTATCAGTCTATAGTTGTACCTAAAGAATTTTCCACATTCTCTGCATTCATAAGGCCATTCTCCATTGTGAATCCTCTGATGTTTCATGAAGTTTGCTTTGTACTTAAAGAATTCCCCACATTTGCTACACTCATAAGGGCTTGATACAGTGTGGACTCTCTGGTGACCAACGAGTGTGGACTTGTACCTAAAGAATTTTCCACATTCACTACACTTAAAAGGCTTTTCTCCAGTGTGGACTCTCTGGTGCTGAACAAGGTGGAACTTTCTAATGAAGGCCATCCCACACTTGCTGCATTCATGAGGCCTTACTCCAGTGTGGATTTTCTGGTGCTGAACAAGTATCTGTTTTCGGCTGAAGCCTTTCCCACACTGAGCACACTTGTAATCATTTTGTCCAGTTTCAAAGGCCTTTCTGCACTCAGTGTCCCCAGATGGCTTCCACCCATGGTGAGGAGCCAGGTGCTGGAGGAGGCCTGCACTGGCTGGGAAGTCTTCCCCACCGTCGCTGCACGTGAAGGGCCTCAGTGCCATGTGAATGCTGTCATTTGTCACAAATGAAGGCCTCTCCTCGTCTCTTCTGAACATCTTGTCTCTTATCTGCTCCATCTGGTGCTGGTGAAGATCTGTCCCACAAATATACAGCCCTTGCTCAGGGTGCATTCCACTGTCCTCAGCCTGTTGCAAAACGTCTTTCATCTCACAGGTTTGGGCCTTCTTGGTGGACAGAGCTAACTTTGGAGTCCTGACCTGTGAACCTCCACCAAAATCACCTTGCTCCAAAGGTGTCTCCTCATCTTGGGCTCCAAGCCAACAACCTGCAAGCAGAGAAATGCCAGTAAAGTGCATGCTGATGTTGGTGGAAGGGGGCAGCCCACCAGAAATGAGTATCAGAGACCCCACCACCACCACGAATAAGTCCATGGATAGGCAAGGGGGCCTAGAACAAGCAAGAGGAAGACCTGCTATGCAGAGCTGGTCTTGGGAAACTCATATGATAGCAGAGCCCTGATGATAAGGGAGGACTCAAGACAGAGGTAGTGTCTTAGTCCATTCAGGCTGTTATAACAAAATACCACAGACTGGGTGATGTTTTAACAACCACAATAATCTTGTAAGCAACAGAAGTTTATTTTCCACAGTTCTAGAGGCTGGAATTCTGAGATCAGGGTGCCAGCATAGCAAGATGAGGGTCCTCTTCCAGGTTGAAGACTTCTCATTGGTTCCTCACATAGTGGAAGGGGCCATGGAGCTCTGTGGGGTCTCTTTTATAACAGCACTAGCCTCATTCAGGAGGTCTCTGCCCTTATGACCTAGAACCCCAAAGGCCTCATCTCCTAATACCATCACTTTGGGCATAAGGTTTTCAACATATGAATTTTGGAGGGACACAAACATTAAGACCGTGACGGGTACTATGCAGGGAGGGAAGGCAGTCTCCACGTCACTCCTCTGCAATGGCTTCCCATAACGGCATGGCCTCTGGTGACTGGCAAGCACTGTGTACAAGTTGTATCCAGACCTGGAAATACCTGACTACAACAGAAATAATGCGTTCAAAGACTATTTAAGGATATATGTGCCCTCATGACATCTTAAGTGCAGTTGAATGTAAAGGGAGCAGCAGTGAAACAGAATGGGGGAGACGTGAAGGCCACATAGTTTGGTTGGAGTGTGGCAGAAAGGGATTGTAAGAGTATAGAAATGAGCTGTGGCCACTGGGGCTGGCATCTGACAATAATGAAAAAAGCACACGTTCCCAGCTCTGGTGCTATACCCATTCCCAGGTCCCTTGCACCAGGGCATGTACTTCTGAGCATCTCTTGCTATTGAGGTATCAATGTCCATCCTATCAGGCACCCAGGGTCCTTCCACTGCTCAAGGTGAACACTGATGTGGCACCTGAAAACGGCCCACTCTGGGTAAAAAAAAAAACGAAAAAAGTGTGTCCAGCATGCACCCAGAGTGATCCAGCTTGGAACATCCATCATTCGAAAGTTCTAAGAACTTCACAGGAAAAAGTAGAAACCACCCAGTGGTCCCTAAAATTAGTAATTACGTTGGTGCTTAAAATTCCTGGTACAGGTAGACCCCAAGAAATGTCAGCCAGAAGAGGGGAAGTCTTGGGACACCGAGGTTCTAGCATCTGGACTGAGTGACCCATCCAGGGACAGGCCAGGTCTAAGGGATCTCACACAGACTCCTCAGCCGTGTCTTGCAAGTACTCAGAGCAGCAAGGGATGGGCTGCTTGGGGACAGCAAGGACAGTGCACATGCCTGGCCCTGGCACCAACAACACACGTGCCGGGAGAGTGAGAGGGGAGAAGAGGAAGCAGTACCCACGGTCTTGTGGTGAGAAGGACAGAGCTGCCCCTGGAAAGGACAAGAACAGAGCTCAGCTTAGGACCCTGGGGTGCATGTGAGGGCCTCACCTATGGAGGACAACAGTGCCAAGTTCTCCAGCATCACACTGTGGTACAGGCGTCTCTGAGCCTCATCCAGGAGCCCCCACTCCTCCTGGGAGAAGTGGATGGCCACGTCCTCAAAGACCACACGGCCCTGTGAAAATGGAGACAGTTTGGCTCATGAGCAGCTTGTTTTCACTGTGTTTTTGTGGATTCTGTATTAATCTATTTGCCATCCATTCATTACCAAGTAAACTAACGGCCAAATCTGTTTATACTACCCCTGATTCAGGGCCCAATGTCTGAACCAGCTCCTTAGCTAACTCGCACACAGCCAGTGAATATTTCCCCTGCCATAAAGCAGCCCAGGGTGAGGTATCAGACAGCTGTGGATGGCTGCTGTACCCCAGGGCACAAGGATTATAAAAATGCCATCCCTAAGCTGCCACTCCACACTCCCTGCATTTCCCTGGGACAGTCCAATAAAGGCTCTGGCCTAAGGTTTCCCCTCACTCCAGCTTCCCCATGTGGCCCTGGAGCCTCCTCCTCTCAGGAAATAGAATAAAAACCTCCTTTCTATGGACTGGCCTCTCTGTATTGTCACTTACTCATTCACATCCATAAATCAAAATCCTGTGGGTACATGCAAACTAAAATGTCACTGGTTCAATTCCTGGACAGGGCACATGCCTGGATTGTGGGGCAGGTCCCCAGCTAGGGGTGTGTGAGAGGCAACTGATCTATGTTTTCCTCACACAGCACATCAATATTTCTCACCCTCTCTTCTTTCCTCCCTTCCTCTCTCTCTAAAAATAAATAAAATCTTTTAAAAAACCCTGTGGGTGCAATAACTCATTCACATCTCTCTCCAGGATCTCCAGTCTTTCCCCACACATTCTCCTCCTTCCTGACTTCCCAGTGTGACAGTTAGCAGGTATGGTAGCACTGGTGCCTGCTCTCTCCTCATGGCCACTGATCACTGTGTCCAGCACAAAAACACATGTGAGGCCCCATCCCTCTCCTGCCAGCCAGCTTCCCTGGGGTCTCCCCAGCTCTTGCCTCCCAGACAACCACTCAATCTCGTCCTTCTTCTATAAGTGCCAAGTACCAGGGCTGGGAGCCAACTCTCCCTTCATCTGCACATCACTCATTGGACAGCACCTCCCTCATGGCTCTGACTCCTCCAAGGTGACAACTCCACTGGAACCCCCAGCCCACCCAGAGGCATTCCTTTACCTCCCAATATGCCACTTCCCATTTGAAATCCAGGCAGTGCATGGGAAATACATCCAACATCCATCTCAACCCCACTCCTGCCCTGAACGCTTAAGTCGCTAGTGCCAGGGCTAACCCAAGCCTGAAGCTCTTCCCTCCTGGCCCTGCCACATCTTACACCGTTGGTTGTCAGGAATGAGAACTGGTCCATATAAACTGGGACAAGATATAAAATTCTGGGCCTGGTGAAAGCACATGATCTTCACACTCAAGAGAGTGAGAAGGATGGGAGAAGTTTCAGGACACCCCCATTCCCTGAGGGTATATATATTGAGGTGCCAAATCCATTAGAGTGGTAATTGGGTGAAAGCAGATGCATCCTCCACTACTCACCTGTGCAGGGTCCATAAGCATTTCTGCCCCTGCTGTGGGACCCTGTGGGAAGAAGGAGGCCATGAGAGATGGGTAACCATGGTAGGATCCTAAAAGCTGAGGTGGACCACCACTCCTGCCCTGCCCTAAAGACTTGGACCATCTGAGCCTGATGGTCTAAGCTCAGCTCCTCAGAAATCAGTGCTGCCTCTTTCCACCTGGGTGACCTGGAGAAGAACTCAGGGAAAATAAAATGCTTATGGGGGTCAGAATGCTTCCAACTCCACAGGGTTCACATTGCTATCAAATGTAAGGATGACCTATGATGATCAACTATTATTGTCATAGGGTCAACAGTTTCTATTTATTTTCAGTGCAAATGAAGTGGTAGGGTTTTGAAATTTGAGGTCTTTATTTTTACTGCTTTTTAAGACTTCAGAGCATTCATATCTAAAACTACATTGTAAGCAAATACTTAGCAGTAAATTAATACCAAATCAATTATGAAATGTTTGCATAAATTGAACTTATTGAATAGGTTTATTTCTTTTTTTTATGTTTTTACAATTTTACTTATTGATTTTAGAGAGAAAAAGGGAAAGGGGGAGAGATAAACATCTGTTTGTTGTTCCACTTATTTATGCATTCATTCTTGTATGTGCCCTGACTGGGGATTGAGATCAAACTCACGGTCTTGGCATATCAGGTGGACACTCCAACCAACTGAGCCACCTGACCAAAACACAACCCAGGCATGTGCCCTGACAATCGGACCATGACCTCTCAGTTTACGTGAAGAAGCTCCAACCAATTGAGTCACACAGACCAGGGCTATATGTTTTTTGATCCTCACCCGAGAATATGTTTAATGATTTTAGAGAGAGGTAGGGAGAGAAACATCAATCAGTTGTCTCCCCTATCTCCACGGACTGGGGATCGAACCCGCAACCTAGGTATGTGCCCTGATCGGAATCGAACCTGCAACCTATTGCTGTATGGGATGTTAGTCCAGCCAACTGAGTCACCTGGCCAGGACCATCGATGTTCAAGTCAATAAACTTTTCATACATTCTTAATATGCTGCAGGGACAGCCTGAGCAGGCATATCAGCTGCTAGTCCATTCAGCAACCAGGCCTGCCCGTTACATGATCTTCTGAAAGGAGTCTGTTGGGGGCCCTTGACTGAAGCAGTGCGTCATCCCTTTTGCCCTGACAGGTAGAGGTGAGGCGCAGTCCCCTGGTCTAGGACCTAGCAGCTCCGTCAGCCTGATGGACGGTTCCTCTGTTTCACAGGAATTGGCCCTGGGGTTAGTGGAGCCCCCTAGCGGAGAATCTGCACCAGCACCCAGCGCAGTCTCCACTGCAGGGAAGCCTGCCGGTTCTGCAGACACAAGCCAGGTTCCTATGTCAGGTCTGCTCTTTTCTTGCGGGGAGCATCAGAGGTGCCAAGACCCGCTCTCCATGCCCTCCCCATCCTCACCACAGGGCCCGTCTGGAATAATGAGTTTAGGACTCTCCCTCCTGCATCTGGCCCGCAGGCCACGCTCTGTTCCAATCCGCACCCTCCACCCCTTCTTAGGACACCACCAAGACGGGACATCTCCATCCTGATACATCTCGGTATGATCAAGCACATGCTCCAGCTCATTCTCTTCCCTGACCCCCCACCCTGCCCCAAACTTGCTCCTTTCTGACTTGCTCACCTCCGTACTTTCAGATGTTCTGGCAAAAATACCTGGGATGCTTATTCCATACTTCCAATTGCAAACATATTTTTTGCAACAGGCAACCCAGTCTGCTTTATGAAGTGTTTCCAGAATCTCGTCACATGGTCCCTTACCGCCACAAACTTGGTCTGGCCCCCACCGTCACTCCCCTGGGGTCAAATGCCGCGGCCTCCCAGGCCTCGTGGATTGACCGACTTGAAACGTCCAGCTCGAGACACGCTCCTCCGCACCACCGTCCCTTCAGAACCTCCCACGGCTTCCAGCCACTCAGGTCTTCTCTCAAAGCGACATTCGCCGCCCTGTCCCCTGGACACAGAGACCTCAGTTCCCCAGCGCTCAGGCACCCCCGAGGGAAGGCTGCCCCCTCCTCACACGGCGGACATGGGCCTGACGCAGGACCCGAGCGGCGCCCTTCCATCCGGACTCGAAGGTGGGAGCCGGGCGGGAAAGCCGGGGCACGCAGAACCCACCTCAGTTGGGCTCATCGGCACAGTCCCGCCAGAGGCCTGTGGGAAGATCGGGGAAAACGGGGCAAGAACAGGGCGCCGCCGTCGACAACGGGTTCAGTCGAGCCTCACGGCCGCCTCCGAGCAGCGAGGACGACGCCTCCGCTCCGGCGGCCTTCCTATCCTTCACCTCCGAGGCGCCGACCCGGTGAACAACCCAAACGCAACCAAAATGACAACCGGAAGGGACGCCGGAAGTCCCGCCCGCCAGAAGCGCGCACGCCCTAGGCCCTCATTGGCTCACTTGCTACCGCCTCTGCCGCCGCGCGCCGTAAAGACTTCTGGGTACTGTAGTTTACGCTACCGCCACCACCTATCAGGTCTCTGTTTGAAAGTCACACTCTACTAGCTGATAAAGGCCAAGTGACAAGATCTTGGGCTTTGGAAAGGGAGCTCTAGGGCTCTAAAAAGAGAGCGGAGCTTCGCTCGCTCTTAAAGGGGACATACCCAGATTTCCCGGACAGCAGTCCGGGAAGTAACGATAGGCGTCTGTTATTTCAGACCCTAAGAAGCGCAGCAAGTTCCTAAAAATTACATATCCGAAAGGACCACGATTCGTAATGATGCTACGTCCACTCCTAGGTGTCAGCTATCTTATGGGTTTTCAAATACCCTTGCTCTGGAGTCAGTTTAAAGATCTATCCGTATATTTGGCCCAGGAAGAGAAAAGACTTCAGACGTAGGCATGATGGGGAAGGCGAGGATGGATGACACGAGGCACAGAAGTTGGTAGACAGGGTGACACTCTGCCTCTGATTCCCCCCAAAAAAGTCTTTCCTGGCCATATGTTGGTGATTGTTTGAACCCACTGAGCAACACATTTTTTCAAATATTTACTGCTCCATATCAGAGACTTTTTTTTCAGTTCTTTTAAGAACTTGAGACCAATCTGGGAAAAAGGTGACTTATCACATAACATTTTCCTGCTGGGATAATGTGTGCCATTTAAATAGTCAGAGCATGTGTACAAAGGGAGCACCTTGTCCCCAAGACAAAGTTGTGGGATGCTTTCATCTCATCTCACTGAGAAGTGATTCATTATTTCAACTCAAACCGTGGAAGTGATGCCTTCACAGGGAGTTATGTTTTTCACAAAAACACTTGTGAATGGAAATTAGTGAAAGGTATTAGTAATTCAAAGAAAGTAGTAGAAATAGTTTTAAGGAAACATACCTGTGACATGGATAATTAAAAGAAAAGGTTAAAATCTTAGTGAAATTTAATAAGTCTGAAAAGTCAGAGAATGAAGGCAAGCCTGTGGCTGTGCTGAAACCTTTGCCACACTCAGGTTTTCGTCTCCAAAACGTGATTCTTTTTATTACTTGAAAACGTGG